AGTTGATGTCTCTGTAGAGTGCCCTGCTTGTTATCCAAAAAGGTAGCCAATGGGGGGTGGAGGGAAGGATGAGCAGGGCAGGGGGGTATGTGGACTGGGGTAGGGGGTTGCTGCTTTGAGGCTGGCAGTGGTTTGGGGGGGGCGGGGGGCTTATTACACATTAGCCAGCCTGAATCCTCTTCCTCACAGATCCTAGTATGGGGAGGCAAATACCAATCTACCCCCAGTAATGTCTTCATTTGGGGGGTTCTGTTTATTTCTCTTCATGTCTTTATAATTGTCTGTAATTTTTTTATTGAAGAACCAGCTGTTTCATATTGCATCCTCTATTTGCAGACTGCTGTTAGGATAGCACAATGGGACCAGACAGAATGAAAACCATGTGGAAGGTATGAAGAGCTTCTCTCTAAAACATGACTTTCTTTGCCAGAAAAGTCTGTTCTGGAGAAATCCCCGACACTGATAGCATAAGTATTCTAGTCTAGATAGTCTTTCATCCTCCACATGATCACTGAGATTAAAGGAATGGAAGAATTAAAGAAATTACAGACAATTATAAAGACATAAAGGGAAATAAATAGAATCCCCCAGAAGTGCAAATCTCAGACATTCAGCTGCTCTCTGTGCTTCCAATGCTGGTGATAGCTCTTCAGCATTCTCACTGAAAACAAAATGGAAACAGATGTTTGGATTTAGAGACAAACAACAGTAAAGGGTCATAGCATTAGCATTTCAATAGTATTTTTCATCATTGTTTCTTGTTCTCCACACTGTTTTGTGCTGAGCACATTGACAGTGCTTTAAAAACAATGAAAAATCACTGATAGCGCCTTATAGATTCTTGACCACATGCAGCTGCTCTGAGACAAGGGCCTTGCCCTGCTGAAATACTACATGGCTGGGGATGTAGCGGCTGGAAAGCTGCCAGGGACTCTGCCACTGCTCTGCTGGGTGGCCTTGGGTGACGCACTTCATCTCACAGGTCTCGTAGGCCCAGTCCAATGTACTGTTCACCTGTGAAATGCCATTGCTTCCCCCTTATGCGGTTTGGGATTGTGATTCTCAGTGGTGGAATAGGATTGCCCTTTGAACTTAGCTTCACATTTGGTGGCTGAAATGGCTACATAACACCTGGGTTTCTTCTTTGCATTGGGAACCAGGATAAAACCTTGGACCACCTCATATCCCCACTTACCTCCCTGCTTTGGCTGCCAGGGGAGCAAGCTTGGAGAGGAGAGATGGGGAGAGCTCTAAGCAAGGCCTGGATTATGACCTAGTGGTTAGAGCACGGTGCTGGGAAAAGCTGAAGCAGGTTCAAGCTGTTTCTGGGTCGGTAGGACTTCAGACCCGTGTCTGCTGCTTCCCGGGCAAGGTGGCATGCCAGTTAATGCCCTTCTGGTAAGCAGGGGCAGACCATCCTCAGGCTTGCTCCCTGTCCTAGCCGTATCACAGTCAGAGTGGAGAACCCCCAGGTGTGGCCTGCCTGTAGGCCCAGTGCTGCCCCAGGGACAACGCTGCTAGGGATGCCCGTGTGTGCTGGGCCGGGAGAGATTCCCTTGCTCTAATGCCCCCCTGCTGAACACATCCTCCCACCAGCTGTGGCTGTGGAACGTGATCTGGGCATGGGGAGGAAGCGCACAGATGGTGGCAGAGTAAATGAGCCGTGTAGGAAGCGCAGAGTCCCTGACACCGTCTGGTCCCACTGTGTTGCACCAGTGAAACGCTCTGGTTACAAGCAAGCAGAGAGTGGGGCAGAGCCCTGTGCACCTTCATACCAAACCCAGTCTAACACAGGGACCGCTCTGTCCAGAGACCCCAGATGATCGCCCTCCACCACAGCTCCCACTCTCTCTGCACTGCCAGAAAAAGTTACCTTGATGGTTCAGTGTCCATGAATGAACCCAGCGGGCTCCACAAATACGGAGAGGATTTGACTGGAGCGGTCTCCTCAATCAGCTGCAGCTCTTCTTCCTCCCACTGCTGCTCTGATTCAAGGAGGTCGTCTTCCACCCTCTCTTCTCCCTCCTCATCCTCAGTGTAGCGAGCTGCCAGTTGTGCGAGGAGGTCCACCTTGGGCTGAAGAGCTCTCAGCGTGGCTAACTCCTCTATCCCTGTCGGGGTCTTGTCTGCATTTGTACCTGGGACTGCCTCTTCATCACGCCATGACTTAGACTCTGCACTAATAGACTCATGGGAAAGAGCCTGGTTGGCAAGCCTGTCTGGGTCTGTCATGCTTTGGCTCAGTCGGTCGCTCACCACCCGTAAAAGGGGGCGATCAGAGAGTTCCTCAATTATGACGGTAACCACGTCTTGTGGAAGATGTGCATCAAAACCTGTTACGTCATTGTACAGGTCTTGTTCAGAGCCAGATTGTTGTGGCATAATCAGGTAGTAGTTTCGACCTCCAGGAATAAGTGCTCCTTCCTGCTCTGGACATCGCGGTGGCACAAGGCTGATTTGATGTCTGGACAGGCTTTCTTCCGCAGCCTGGTTCAAGTTCTCAGCAAGCGTGCTCGCTTCGGCCCTTGATAAACGTCTCTGGTGCTGTGAGCTTCTGCCAGCAGTTGCATCCTTCAGCAACGAAGTCTTTTCTGCATCCATCTCCGCAATGGGAAAGAGGGATGAAAACATGGACAGATTTCCTGCTAGTTTTTTGATGATAAGAGGAACTATTTTACTCAGGTCCGATGGTAGGGTGTTTTGGTTCTCCAGAGGCTCAGAAACATCTCTGGGTGTATCTCCAACAATATTGTCTGCTTCGGCACGGTGGCGAAGTGGTGATTCCCCAGAAAGAGAGCTCTGCAGTGGACTCCCAGAAACCTCTTGGAAGACCAAGTCACAAAGAGCTTCAGAAAGAACCAGGCACCCATTTCTTAAGCAGTTCTGCATGCTGACTTGAGACTGAAACGGTGCCAAAAGCTTGTCGTACACCGAATCAGCAGTGGTTTGAATCACAGCATCCTCTCTGGCATGCAGATGGTCAGTGTGCTGGCTACAAGAGTCATCATCTTCAGAGATTTTTGCCATCACTTGTCTGATTACCTTCAGAGGAAGCAAGTCAAATCCTGCAAGCTCTGTTTTCTTTTCTTTCGGGGAAGATGTGCTGGTGGCGGCAGGGAGAAGATCAGAGAAAAGCCTGCTGATTATATCTTCCAAATATCTGAGCCAGACCTCTGGAGTAGATGGTGTGGGACTTTGGCATTGGGAGGTGCTTTTGGTAGCATCCTCAAAAAGCTTCTCAACCATTTTCCCAGGCTCTAGAGGTTTGTACTGAGCTGGAGGGGGTGCTTTTGCTAAGCGTTGGTGATCAGTAATTTCTCTCCTTCGCAAAACACTTAACCCCTCTGCTGACACACTCCTGTTGCTTTCCCTGTATTCACAAGCTGTGACTTTAGGAGCACTTTCATACCAAAGGTCAGACAAACTGGAGTGAAGAATTTGGGCTGTCAAGGTATCTGTCAGGGAAGAGACCCTGATCCTCCGAAGGCTGCTGGGCTGTGGCCTGACATCTGGACAGCTTACTTAACACCGAATCGACCAGCTCTGTACTGAAACGTGAAGGATCGCTTCCATGGATAACACTGTCCTGAGCAAGGAAGTTTTGGGAAGGGACACGTTTGTTCATGAGGTCATCATATGTTTTGTAGAAAAAGGCATCAGCATAGATACTGGCAGGTGAGTGCCAGGGCTGAGGCTTAATGGTGTATCTTGGCAGTGGTGCTTCCTCTTCAGGGAATATTTTCCTGCATGATGACAAGCAGGGCTTTCTCGGAAGCTATTTGCCGAGCTGGGGTAGAGTCATGCTGGACCGGACTGTCCTTGGCTTGATGAGTCTGGGGGGATGGAGAAGTTTTGAGCCCCAGAGCTCCTGCATGGTAACACACCTTTCTGATGTCCCTTGAGTGGGGGTTTGCAAGCTCCAGGACCTGAAACTGTCACGGCATTTGCCCTTCCCTTTGGACCTGTTCCCCAGAACTGAGCATTCATTCCTGGGCATTGATCGGTGAGAATAACTTTCTAAGCATGCCTGTTTTAGGGTGATCTTGTGCGACATCAGAGGAAATATCTTCCCTAATGAGATGGGTTTCTAATTGGCCATCTTTTTGTGTCAGGTTGTACTGAAAGTACCTTTGGCCATGGGGAAATCGCTCAGCTTGGAAAGTCTGCCTGGGATGCTCAAGCTGAGCAGCCCTGCACACACTCCCCCTGGACAAATGGGAGAGATGATTAGCTGGATGAGGAGGTACTGCTGCCGGTTCAGGCTCAGGAAGATTGTCTTCCCAAACCTCTCTGCCAATACCTGGAGACAAGCCAGGTGAGTGTTGAGAAAAAAGTGAGGTTAATTTTCCTCTACTCCATTTCTTCCCACATCCTGGTGAGCTGCCGGGTGTTATCTTTCTGCCTGTGCAGACACACTTTTTGGCACTGGCCTCCTTGTCTCTCATATCTCTCTCGGTTATTTTTCTCTCTTCATATTCCATTATTGCTGGATAGAGGATATCTGTTACCTCATCCATAAACCATGTTGTTACATTTGTAACTGCATCGGTCATTTCTTTGGTCTTGTTTTTCTGTAGCAGGAACAAATGAGAAAGGGCAGTAAAGTGTTAATTAATTCCTTCATTCTCCCTTCTGCACAGGACAACAGAGCTCTCCTGGGTGCAATTCAAACTTTTAGGATAAATAATAATAGCTCCCCATGAAAAGCAACCTCAATTCATAGATGCTTGGGTCAGAAGGGACCTCAACCGATCACCGAGTCTGACTCCCTGCCCGTGCGGCAAAGAGTGCTGGGGTCAGGGTGGGATATAAATCTAACAGAATAAATATAGGAAATAAAGAAAGGGCCAGTTCAGGAAAGATCAGTGAAGGACCAACTAGGGTCAGCATTGCTTCTCCCTGAGCTTGTTTCTGAAGGGCCGACATGAAGACCATGGAAGAAAACTGACCATCTTGAAGGCCAGCCAGGGGAGGTTTGTCACTGATTTTAGCAGGACCAGGGTTTCCCCACAGGAGCCAAGAGATTACTTAATTTTCACCCAAGCCCCCTCCGCCAAGAAAGCACTTATCAGCTAGCTCGCTTCTCCTTATGGAAAAAGAATAAATTAATTTGCAGGTGTTTAATCCTTCTCCTACCAAAACTTGAAGGCTGTGCTCTGCCTGGGCAGTGCCGCCCCTGCTCTACCTCACAATGAGGCATCTAAACACTGTCTGCTGTGCAGCTTTTATTTTTTCCAAGGACGGCGCAGGCTTTTGCTAATGAGCACCCTCGCTCCAGTGCAGGAGGAAAATAGTTTTGCCCCCATTTTGCACTTAGCAGCTTTGACCCAGTTCCACTATCTACTAATCTGTGGCCACCGGGCTGAAGTGCCTTCAGTAGTTTGGTCACGCCATTCTTTCCCTTGGTGTTAAGCAAAGGGTATCCGTCACACAACCCATCCCAACACCGCACATCTTGTAGCATTATATCCTGCTCATTTGTTTCTGAAAAGAGTGTGGAAGATTGTGGGGAATGATGCCATTTGGGCGGGTAAGTCCTGCACAACAATACATGTCATGGCAGGTGCAGGTCATCTTCCAGTTCTGACATCTCCCCATGCCCTGACTTCTTACCTGGGAGGAGGATCTTTTCTTGTTTGTGCCTTTATTAGCAATTGGCACAAATCTAGGCTGCTGGTTACCTCTCGCAGGTTCTGCTATAAAAGCCCAACTCTGGGGGTGAGTAAGGGTAAAAGCTTGGCCCTACTGAATTAAATGGGAGTTTGGACAGTGACTTTGGTGTAGCCAGAGTTTTGCCCGAGGTACATAACCATTTTACCGGAAAGACAGTGAAAAGACAGATGCAACAGTGGAGACAATACCAGGAGATCAGGACCTTGGAGCATTGTAGCACTCTGCTCATCAAACTTAAAAACCACCAGGGCCCAGTCGGCTCTGTGTTGGACCCTGATCCTGCAAACATTGATGCACCGTGCTAAGAAGCAAGTATGGAGCAGGCCTGTTGAGCTCCCCGGGATCACAGACATGCTTGAAATAAGGCACGTGCATCTTGTTAGATTGGGGCTGCAGTCATCAACTTCTTTGTGACCGTCTAGATAGAATTGCCAGCAGACCCATTGGCTACTACTGACTCTAGCCATTTACCACTTGCCTTGTTAAGGTATATATGATATCTACACATATATATGTAAATTGTACTGCGGCTTTGTTTCTAACCTTCGTTGCTTTACAAATCACGTTGTGTGTTTTTTTGCTGTGTCGTTTTTTAGGTCCGTCCATCTGAATTTTTTTCCGAGAAGTTTTTGAGTGTTTTGTACTCTGTCAAAACCCTGGCTGAATCTGCTGAGAAACACATAAACGGTGGGTTACTATCACTTCTGCTGCAATCAGTGTCTGCTCCACTCCCCGCTTTACCTAGGTTTCTTTTTGCTAAAGTGATTGTGGCTTTTTTGAACAGATTCCAAGAAGTTGCTAATACCATTTGTGAACCAGAGCTTGGAGGTTAGCAAACTGTTACAGGGGAGTGTATTGCTGATGAATCAACACGGGCCATGTCCTGCCTTTGCAAAGGCACAATGAGAGTGGAAGGATGCCCCTTCCCGTGATGAGCCAGGACACAGAGCATGCTCCATCTCTCTCTTTTCTAGGAGATGTTCTAAGTCACCTTCTGCATGCATTTTATAGTAAGGCCTTGCAGTGGGATCTGAGAGATCCAGCTGAGTGCTTGGGTGCTTGGCAGGGAGCCAGGAATGAGGAAAAATGGCACTGGGACAAGATCAAGTTGGAGGGGACCCCAAAGCAGAGGTCAGGCTTGTTGGGGGCAGAGAGTGTGCACAGGGCCCTGGGGTCACTCGAGTGAAACCCTCTTCAGACTCCTGAATATCCATGAGCCTCCCCACTCTTGTACTCTCTGCAAATTTCTGCGAGCCGTACTCATAAAGTGTGCCCCCCATCCCACACCTCTCTCCAGACTGGTAGCCGGAGACGTGGACAGCCCATTGTGTCACAATCACCTTGCGCTAAGCAACCACCTGGCCATTGTCTCCTAGCATCAAATGCTCTGCCCCGTGATTGGCTACACCTGACTTATTTGAATAAAGGCCGTATCCTTCCTCCCAGTAGGGTTGGAGTACTGTTGTAGCCATGGTCATCTGGGCAATATGCAAGGATCAAGGTGATTTTAGGGACATCTTTTCTGTGACCAACCATATAGTTGGGAAAGAATTCCCCACTTCAATTGCTATTTTTTCTGCCATGTTTTTCTCCTTGTCACAGGCTTTTTGCTTAGTTTGAGAAGTTTCTGGGCACCAGGTGCCCTTCTTCTGTGTCCTTGTCTAACACCGCTCCCAAATCTGACACCTGGTCCAATAAAAGTCACCCCGAAGGTGTCTCCCCACCGCCCCCTTCCTTCTCACTTGCCCTGCCTTTGTCAGGCACAGAGAGACAGAGTCCCTAGCCACATGCTTGCCTTCCTCACCCCCTCCTCCTCCTGCCCACCCACCTGAGCCCTCCCAGTCCCCCCAGATCCCTTCAAGCAAGCACAGCTGCTCTGCACAACCAGGGGTAGGACTAGGGATGGCAGGAGGAGAAAGGAAGGGAGAGGTAAGGGAGGGTGGAAAGGCCCCTGTGGACATCAGAGAAGGGTGGGGGGAGCTCTTTTTCAATGTCTGACTCCGGTGCTGCTGCACTGAAAACTAAAGGGTTGCTCCATGTCTCAGCCACTGGGGATCAAGCACAGAGTGACAGACAGCTGGACAGACGGACAGAGCTGCAGGGGAATATGGGGATCAAAGCTCCCACCCATTCAAAGGGCACAACTAGGTATTTCATCCCCAGTCCAAACATTTCAGGGGGTCTGAACTGGCTAAGATTTGGCAGAGATCACAACTGGCTCTTACACCAAAGTTACTCCTGTGTTGTTCCATGCCAGGGCCCTGTGACCTGGGTCCGAATTGCAGCCTGTGACTGAGAAGGGCCACAGCCCTGAACTCATTAACCATGAGGAACCACGAAGAAGGGTTGGGGACTGTAACAGGCGGCCTCCCGGGGCCGATCTCCACGGCCCGCCCGTCTCGCCCGCCATGCCTTTGATGATAATTAGTTCAATTAAGATGTTAATTAAGTGGAAGGCTACCCATTGTAATGCCCCGATGCCAGGGGGCGCTCTGCGGCTCCGACCTCCCCAGTACCGCAGCCCAAGCCTCGCAGAGGGCATCTTGATGTTCATATCCTCACCGGCCCCCACACTGGGCCCCAGAATCATCCTACAGGATCCCTCCATGATCCCTCCAATCAGGCGGCCTCTCCGCCTTCATCTGGGCTACCTAGCCCCTCGAAGCCATTTTCCCCTCTCGGGCGTGGTCCCCCTGGGACCTTTGGCTACTAGCCCTGGCCCACCTCCAGGCCAGTCGGGACCCCAGGCCCCTGGCTCTTGGGCATCCCTCACCTGTATCAGCTTCAGCCAGAGAGACCTGCCACCACGAAGGTGTGTTCAGGTCTGAGCCTCTGGCCTGGGGCTCTGGACCTGGCCCTGCAGGCTGATGTCAGCCCTCTATGAGGTCACTGCCCCTCTGGTCCAATGGCTGATCTCCTGCTGACTCATGCCTGTGAGCTCACGGTCTGCCCCACCCAGCTGGACTCATCCCCTGCCTGTAGCAGCCCCTTCACCATCTAGTCCAGCATATCCCGTATCCCATCCCTGACAGTGCCCAGTGCCCGAGCCTGGAGAGACCAGGACAGGACAATCCCATCCTGCACAAGGGGGGGGGGGGGGGGGCGAGCGTG